AATAAATTTTGCATATCTTCATAGTACAATCTTAACACCAATAATAAATATTTCTCATGGATTATGTTCAATCGTTGAAAACACTTTTATTCCATTTGTTGACATAAGACTGTTTGTACGGTTTGTTTGCAATTTGGTGCGCAGCGTGTAATCATATCATTAAATTGGAAAAACACAAAATGGTTAGTGAAGGGCGAAGCTCAGTGTATAAGCGGCGCCTTGTTATCACAAATTCAAGATTAGTTTTAGATAATGATTACATTCCAATATTACCAACAGAATTGAGTACAACTGTATTTGTACAAGGCCTGAGTACATATTCAACGCGGCATGCTGATCCGCGATTACTAGCGATTCCAACTTCATGTTCTCGAGTTGCAGAGAACAATCCAAACTGAGGCAATGTTTCAGGATGCGCTCCACCTTAAAGCCTTGCTTCATATTGTCATTGCCATTGTAGCACATGTGTAGCCCGACCCATAAGGGTCATGCGGACTTGACGTCATCCCCACCTTCCTCTTGTATATCACTGACAGTTTTTTGTGAGTGCAGCACATCGTTACGATGTCTTAGCAACACAAAACGAGGGTATGTTTTTCATGATCTCATCTTATGATTTGATTGCCATGTATTTAGCCAAACCAAAAAATTATATTATTTAATTGTTACGCATATTCTAAGAAAACCACATTAGCATGCCTTGCCCGATGATCTACATAAGTCAAAAAATCATACAAGTTAAAACTCACTTGAATTGTAGTACCGAATTTCCAAATTTGAAAAACTATCAACTAGTAAGTTAATATTGAATATATTTATTAAGTATTATTGAGAAACAATTTATTAAGGAAGAACTGCAAGTGTTAAGCAAGGTACAAAATTATTTCCTTTAAAAAAACAACTGTAATAATGAAAATACATAAGAGAATTGATGGCAATTGCGATGAGGATGCACTTATTGGCTCAAAAGCATTTTAGTCATCTATAAAAATGCACCTTACTTCGCTCAGTGCCTCTAACCTTTTGTAAAAACTCTGATCAATGCAAGTTTAACTCTTTGTTAGTCCTTCTAATATAATTATATTTCCTCCAAGGTGAAAATATGAAATTGAAATAAGAGCATATTGCATAAAAATTACCATTATCAAGCTTTAACTTTCCCTATTTAGATATTAATTATTTACGCATAGGATACACCACTGTTGAGCTAAGCTGATAAAAAAACGCACAAGAGGTTATACAATTTACGCACAAAAGGTAACTACAAAATTAAGGTTATGTAACTTTGAATGTACTATATCATTGTATGATATTCATTGCACTGCAACTTGATATTATGCTTAAAATCGGTCATTATGTTGACGTCTTTACACTGCATCGGATTCAGTCGAATACTTGCTATGCTCATTTTTGTTGAAGGTTTCAACGTTTTTGCCCTCTGTGTTGGCTATAACGACATATTTCATAGCGTTACCGTACATCACGGGATCGACCTCCCTCGATAATGATAATGAAAAGGTTTATCGACTAATATGTTCATGCCAAATTTTGCAACCTTACTGAAGTTGTATAAGACTTATCCTTCCTAATACGCTGTCACGAGCTCATCCGTGGTAATCCCGATAATGCGACTCCGGGAGCGACGCTCACGATCATCTGGTTCTAAAATTTGAGTCAACAATTACAAGCTAGTGTCACATATTCTCGATGCTCGATAAGTAGTGCAATTGTTATATAACATAACAAATTATCATGATAATAGGGTTTTACTCTCGTTGTCCCATTATCATGAAAAACCATCACTATCGACACTAACGACTTTCTTGGTTTCTACTCTTGTACTACTTAGGTATAAAATTGCACCCACACTCGGTAACTCAGGTTTTATACTTCGGTATGCTGTGCTAATTCAATAATTATTTGTAACCTATTCACTACTACTCCATCTTAAAACTTATTACAAATCGTGCTACAATTACTAGTTCAACGAACATTGTCATCAATGAAAAAATGACAATAACGAAGGTGAGTTACGCAAAAGTTGAAGGAATATAAAAGTGAATAAGTTGAAGAAAAAAAAAACGATAATAAGAAGTTAGGCTATCAAACGGGCCGTCTGAATCACCTTGTTTGTTCGGGCGACCCGATTGTGCAAAGACCATAAATGCTCTCATGATCCCCCCTTAAAAAAACTAATATAAAAGAAACATGACAATACTTATGTAAAAAAATATATTAAACAAGTTTTGCCCCAAGGTCATCGAAATTCACCGGAGTTGCCCTGCCTAAATGTTTCAACTTTCAAGTACCCTCCTCTGTTTCCACCTCTCCTCTCCTCGTACTTACCCTACTATCTTGTATGTTTGATTTATTTTGTTAATTTATTTATTTTCCTATGCTTTGATTATCAATTTTCTTGGTGCTCATTCTTAATAGTGTTGTTTTTTATATTTGTTTTTTGTATTTGGGCTTTGGAATAAATGAGTGTTTTTTCCTTTAATATTTAATTTTGTTAATTTTCGTTGTTTTAATAATTTTACTCATTGCATTACGACGTTTTTTTCCTCTTTCTTATGTTGGTTCTATGTTGTTTTGTAACTTATTGTGTAACTTGAGAATAATGTGTTTTGTTCTTCTGTTTGATATGGTTTGAAATTTCGACTTGGTTTTCATACGTATTATCTAGGCAACCAAAGTGGCCTAGGACCACTTGCCAAGCCGGACCAAAACAAATTAAAATTTTTAAAATATATATATATATATTTTAATTTTATTGTTTCTTTGCAATTTGGTGAATAATTTTGATGTGACCCCAAGGCAAAAGTTGTTCAATTTATTTTTCTGCTTTTTTTTTTTTTTTTTTTTTTTTTTTTTTTTTTTTTTTTTTTTTTTTTTTTTTTTTGTGGTCTGGGACCCTCTTTGGGCTTTGCACAGCCGGACCGCCTGAACAAACAAGGTGGAATCACATAGTATTGGGTTGGGTGTAGTTGATTTTAGTTTGATTTGTTTCAAGTTGGTATTTTTCAGTTTATTGCATAAATATGTTCTTAAGTTTAGATCATTTAGGTATCCAGTGGTGCTTTACCGACCACTTTGTTGGCCCCGGGTAAGAGAGTTAGATATGCGCCTTAGGCTCACCCCCTCCCCCCTCCCCCCCCCCTATAGCGGCTACGACAACAAAGGCAAGTGGCACATGCTCTCTTTCTTTGCCTTTCGCTCTTGTACTCAGGCTTGTCGGTCGATAAGCAACCGGACCGACGGCTCCCCGAATATGGGGCTCAGTCTTTGGAAAAAAAGAAAAAAGAACATATGAAATAAACAAATTTAGTAAACAAAGCATGCTAAGCAAACATCTAGGTAACGATCGAGATGTTTATTTCGAATGTTCTTACTCAAGCATCTAGATGTTTGCGTAAACAAAGCATGCTAAGGATGCTTTTATGCATCCTATCTAGATGTTTGAGTAAAAAAAGCATGCTAAGCAAATGTGATTATAAGAAGCGGGTAAGAATCATGCTTTGTTTACTCCAACATCTACATATCATGCAATCTAGATGTTCGAGCTAAGAAAATGGGGAGCGAGGATAATTTTCTTAACCCAAACATCTCAATAGCCTTAAAAAAACAGCAAAGTATCATATCTAGATGTTTGAGTACACAAAGCATGCTAAGCAAACGTGATTGTAATTTTCTTACCTGGTTCTTTCTCTGGGTAAAATAGAACCTTCCTCCTAGCCTTGTAAAATATAAGGTGGAATTTTGCTAAAAAGCCTAAAAACACATAACATGCTCGACTACCAGAGTGGCCCGTTACCACTTTCCCGGCCAGGCCAAAAGTAATAATAATAAAAAAACTATTTGATTTTTTGATTTAAAACCCTCCAATACCCCGGGGGGTCTTAGGCCCCCTCTGGGGAGGCTCTGAGGCAAATGCATATGGACCTGCGCGGCACACCGATTCAGCCACCGCGTTAATGACCTAAAAACGTGGAGGTAGTGGTGGTTTAACTTTGGTAAAAATTTTCGATGTGACCCTGGGGCAAAAATTGTTCAGTTTATTTTTCTGCATAACTTGGTCCTTGCACGGCCGGGGCGCTCGGGAAAACAGGGTGACCCAGTCGGCCCTGCTGGTAGCCTAGATAACGTGATAGAAATATAAAAATTATAAACATCAAGCTTTACTGCTTCAATAATTGAATGAAAGAAAAATGATGTTCAAAGAAAGCAATGCATCATGCGATCCTATAAAATAAACTCCCAAAACACATGCAGCTACATCTCTCCCCTCGTTAATTTCAGGGGAACGTTAGTCGCGTAACGAGGCTACAGTGGAGAACAAGTACGATTAACTGAACGCTTGGGGCAAAAGGCTTCTGTTAGCTTCCCCACTTCAACTGCCGATATATTACTAGAAAAAAGTAATGTGGGACTTAATAATCAGATTTATCACAAGGACGCTCATCACACATTGCTTGGGGAGCTTTACGTCAAAACAAAGGGGCGCAGGGGCCTTGCCAAAAATGCAGCTGAACAGTTGTCCATATTCCGTCTACGTCCATCCGATTCAGGAAACGAATAATTATTAATTAGTAACTACTACCTCGAAAAAGAGGTAATGCAAATTAATAAAATATCCCCGAGCCCCACGCTTACTCCAAATTCAGTTAAAAAAGTTAAAACCTAAACCCTTCATCCTGAGACCTGAACGAGGTTAACATCTCCTAAAAGAGCCTAAGGCCAATACTTTTCAACTATGCGCAAACAAATTCAGAAAACATAAAATTTCCAAAACGGAGAGTCGGAGACCAGTATGGTTATGCTTGACCCCAACCAATCATATCTGAGAACCAAAATGCCTCTGGCAGCAAAACATACTTAAAAGTTAAAATTTAAAAAAAAGCGTAAAACGCAGCAAAACGTACTTAGAATGAAAGAAACGTAAAACCTATGTATTCATTGTATTGTCAAATAGTAGAAGTATATCACTGTACAGATGAACTCTATCCTGTAACAATTCATTGAGCACTAGTCAATAGAGGGATGGTTTAAATGTATACTTTCCCTTTGGGTGGGAGATCCCTTAAGCCTGGCTCCCTAACCTTCACAATAAATAAATATTAAGCATGCATACAGAAAGAAGGAAACAATTCTCAATGCCTTAGTCTCGATGGGCACGGTTGTGTCACAAGCGAATCCAGGGTACCAAAACCAGACCTTCAGCAATTCAAACAATCAGTGCCCGTGTCACACAAGAGGAGTGAACGACAAAGCAACCACGACTGTTCCGTCAACGAAGGAAATGTGTGTGTGTGTGTGTGTGTGTGTGTGAGAGAGAGAGAGAGAGAGAGAGAGAGAGAGAGAGAGAGAGAGAGAGAGAGAGAGAGAGAGAGAG